GGTCCGACTAATAGCCTCCGCCCACGGAGCTGCAGAGGGTTTTATTAGCTTTGAGGATTACACCGTCGACCACGTCGACTTACAAGAAAGAATTCTCTCTCTCTCTCTCTTTCTCTCACCTTCTCTCTCTCTAAACCGAGAGTCACACCAAGAAGAAGAAAAGATAACCTTAAACTTTTTGGAGAGTAATCCACATCCCTGTAATCAGAGCCTGTTTTAAAGCTTCACAGTATCTAGCTTATTTTGGTAACCCTTAATTTCATGATTCCATGGAATCATGCTTTAATGACCCATATAAAGCCCATTAAGGCAAGCTATCAAATTCATTGCCTTTTTCTCTATAACAGAAGGGGCGGGAAATTAATCTGGTAAAACTTAATTAATTAAGTTTTCCTTAATTCTTCCTGTCAATAGAAGGCAACTGCTTTAAATAAAAAATTGGGAATCATCAAGCTATGGCAGGGAATAAAATACATAAGGAAAAGAATTAAGAGCAGATAAATTAGAATCAATTTATCAAAGAATCTACCATAATAGGAAGTGGACCGGGTCTCCACCTTCCTCAACAATTTGATTCCTCATATATGTTGTCGGTCAGGGACATTTGAACTGAGGGAGCAAAAGTTGGAAACCTGGTCGAGGGAATTGGACACAATGCCACTTTTAAGAAATTCACAAAGGGATGCCAAGTAACTTTCTAGAGAAATCCTCCAACTACAATATTGATTCTTCTAATCAAAAGGATGTAGTAAATCCCTTCCACCAGACAGATTCCAGAGGTGAATAACCCATGATTTAGCATGAAATATTGGAGATGACGAGATATTGAAGTAATTCTGGGTTTCTCATATTTTGATGGTCACATGGATTTGGACTAGTTCATTGAGTGAATCCAGACATTGACACATATCTTTGAGTACTAAGAAGTAGCACTAGACGAAATGATAAAATTAGCCATTAGTAATTAAGGAAGAGTGCATCTTAGTGATAGGAGAACTTGAAGATCTTTAACAGCTTGAAGGGAAGAGTAAAATTACTACTTCATTTAAGTTAATATAATAAATGTAGTGTCAATACCTACTAGTTCTTTATAGACAGGATGTTCATACACTAAATTCAAAAGTGGAGAGACAACCTCACCCAGTGGCTGTTGCATCTTACAAGCAAAGCATCTAAGCTAACCATACCTGAAGAGAAACTAGTTAAGAGTGAAGAACGGAACCAGTATTCACAAATCTGCCCAAGTTAAGAAGTGTTTAAAGTGGCACGAATTTGGGCATATTGAATTAGTTGCCCAACCAAATGAAAGATCTCTTTTACTGAGAAAGAATCAATTGGAGAAATAAACAGTGACACTAGAGAGCATGAAGGATCATAGATGGGCCCCAACTTCAAGCCGATAAGAAAGAGATGCTGGTGATTCAAGATGAGCCCATGACAAAGACGAACTAGATTAGTTGGGGTTGTTCTGAAAGATAATAAGTCTGAGGAACCGATACCGGAAAGGGACAACCCCTGTTGACAAAATTTCCAAATATCCTGGCTGACAGTTCACCTATTGGGTGGTTAACCCTAAAAGTGGTCTAACAGGTCATAAATGAGAAGCTTTTGAGTACTGCTAGAAGTTTATATGAAGTTATTGTATATTAAATTTAGTTTGACAGTGCACTCATTTATAGATGTTCAGACTAGAGGGATGAACTACAAAGTTGGAATTTACCTTGGAAGCTTGGTCATAAAAGAAAAATCCAACAATGGAATCCAGGTTCTACTATAGAAGAAGAGAGATTTCTTGAGTGGTTGCTATTGAGAGTTGCATAGTCTGCCATAAACTTTTGTCCCATAATTGATTCTTTCTTACATACTTGTTTATCAGATATAATCAGACGATTATGAGGAGTTGAAGAAGTCAATCACATATTTAATGGTTTGAGGCTTGATTCATGAGGATACCCATCAACATGTGGTTCCAACTCAGGTTGTGCCAAAATAGAATGGATACATATTCTATCAGGATGTGCTTTAGAAGTACAACTTATGAATGATGGACACAATGAGGGATTAAGACATTTTTTATATCTTCAATTGCATTGAACTAGCTCCGTACCATGAGGATACAGAAGCTTTGACGAATTAGGTCAAAGTTGCACCAATCTAAGGAGACTTACACTAGACACTACACCCCAACATGAGATGCGAGCTGCGGTTCCGCGATTGAGAGAAGACGAAAACGGTCGACAAATTTTTTATTTTCTTTCTATTTTTCAAATAGCTTCAATTTATTCATAATTCCTTTCTAATACTTTCCTATATATGTGTTGTATTAAGATTTATATTTTGAGTTTTTTTGTTGGTTTCTATAAGCATAGTTGTCGACATATCTAAGTTTTCCCTTCTAAGGTTGTATCCAAGGAAGTGTGGTGCTCTGACTATATCTCATTTTGAGGTGGTGATTATCCCCAAATTTTCTCACCCCCACATCCTTCCCTTCACTGCTATGATCTACTTCCTCAATCCATAGACCCCCGAAAAATGTTCCTTGTTGTCATCCTACAATACCAGTAATTGGTAATCATTCCTTCCACCTACAATCTATGCTGACAACCACCCTATCTCCACCATCTAACCATCTAGTTGAATGCCTTCCTTGTTACCTTGTACCCACCTCCTATCACACCAACCATAAGCCTTTACTTCCAAACCCCCAATTGTACAACCAAGAACCACCCTTCCAACCCACCTAACTAGCCACCAACCCTTTGGGGATACAACCTTAGTCTTTTTATGTTATGTTTGTTGTTGATTTTCCTTTTAATGGTGTTTGGATGTAATCACCAATTGGTTTTTAGTAATCAAATTTTCTTTCCTATTATATATGGGTTAACTCCGGTGTCACATAAGGCTAATGATTAAGATGAGTTCATGAGACAAAAGTGTTTCAAATATAGAGCTATTAGCAAATTTGAAAGGTGATTTCTTGTAAAGGCAAAGATTCAATTAATCAATCATATTATATAAAAAGGTACGTTTTAATATGATAATGAATGCAAGTCACTTTTATAATATAGTAGGGTGGAGACGCATATTATAAGAAATCACTTAGAATATACCGAAGATGATCATGTCTAGAAGCCTAGCTTGTGCACACACTAAGCTTTCAGACATCATCCTTTTTAGTGTATTCCAAATGGATTTGTATAGTGTTCATCTCCACCCAAATAATTATTTAATAGCCTACTCTTTTAGCTCATCCTATTAAATTCCTTCTATATGTGTATTCTTCAAACGACAAACCCCAAGCTAGTGGTTTGAGCAAATTCAATAATGCCAAATCCTATGTTCTTGCAAGGTCCTAAGGAAAAATACTTTGGATATTTGAAAAATCGATTAAATTGAGATTTCTCAGCTTGATAATGAAATTGGGAGGAACAAAACATTTAAAAATTTTCTCGATCACACCTCTATCTTTAAAAGTGACACAAGGAGTGTAATACCTTTATACATATATAATTAGAGCAAAAAAGTGCATGCATAACAAAATAACATATTAAAAAGCAATTTAGCTAATTGAATAAAGAGTACAATGTAATAGAAAACAGTGGTTTGAATATTCTTATGTTTATTCAAAAGAAAAACAAATACTGCATCAATTCATTTGAAATTCACTTTCTAGTTCAATTTCAATGTATTTGAAATTTTTTAGATTTGGTTGAATTCTAATTACATTTCTAATGTAAAGCTTTGGACGTCATCGTCATCTCCCAATCATCGCTTGCTGTCGTTGGTGCTAGTTGCTGCTTATCGTTCATATTTTATATTCATTTCATTTTTTGGCAAACCAAAGTCTCTAAGGAAAGGAAAAGAGAGAACAAAGGCAAAATAAAATAAATCATCCTTAAAATATGATCACACAATCATTAAATCATAGTCAAACTATGATAGAATCATCTTTGAACCATGATCAAAATTTATTGATCTCTCTTCAAACAAAAATTAAATCATATTTAAACCATGATAGAGCTATATATAAATCATATTAAATATTATTTGAACCTTGTTTGAAAATTTGAAAAAAAATTCTAAGATGATTCATAGAGGTTTAAATTCTGATTTAAAGGTAGTTTGAATATGATTCTTAAAGATACTTCAATCCTAATCCAAATATAGTTTGATCAAGGTGAGAAGACGATTTGGAGAAAGCTCTAACATATTCATAACAAATATTGTGATGTATATCGACGATCTCGATTTAGAGTTTAGAGTGCAAGAAATTACTGCAATCAGGTAGACAAACTATAAGCAATTGGGGAAAAAAATGTTGAATTTGTAATGAGAAATCTGAAGAAATTATAATAAAACAAAATGTTTGGCAAAGGAAGTCATTTTCCAAAAACCTTATTCTTAATCCGCTGAACAATAAATATAATGTAACCCCAAAGGGAATCAAATCTATGAAACTTCTTAAATGAAACTTTTGCCCGGAAGCAAAAATTATTAGTCTCAAGACTTTTGCCAAAACAAAATAGATGTAAGAAAAATACTTCTTAAATGAAACTATGCTTTTTATTTTTTTCATCACCATCTGTAAGAACTCAGGCGCCACCGGAACCATATTTTTTCCCCAAGACAATAACTTGAAGCTTGTCATAGCCAGCAAGCACCCCAGCACCAGCAACGGCGCGTAGAATATTTGCTCCAGCGCCCTTGAAGAGGGATTTGACACCCTCATTTTTAAGAATCTGGGAGAAAGCATCCATTGAGCTCTTATACTTAACAGCCTCACCTGAGGTCATCATCATTCTTCTACGAACTGTGTCGATGGGATAGGATGCAAGTCCAGCACCATTTGTGATCAACCATCCAAGGGCAAAGCTTGCGAAGAAACTATCCTGTAATCAGTAGTAAATGGCAATAGCTCAAAATTAGTATTTCATTAGACCTTTTAACGAAAACCCTATGAAAGATTAACTTTGAATGTTTTTTTCCTTGTTCACAAATTCACAAAATCTGCATACATGAAGAATTGTGACTTCAGTTTGCATAGCCCAAAATTTCCATTTGAAAAATATTCATAAAGACTTTGGAGTGGTTTTCAACTTCAAGAAGGCGAAGCTGTTGAATTTATGACGCTCGGATTAAAAATAGAGTAGAATGCTAAATTGTCCTCTGACTATTTTCATGTGGTAATTTTAATCTAAGAGTTTATTAAAGTGTTAAATTAGTCCCCAAACACTTAGCTGCTTTGATACTTTTCTCATTAAAAAACAACTTTTTATAACGCTATGAAAATGATTTACAACCTCATTGTTTATCATTTATTTTCTTATTTTAAAATCTCTGAAAGGCTTACCTTCCTTTTTTTTAGAGTGAACTGTAAAAATTGTCCCATGAATATTTACATGGGGCCATTTTAGTCCTAGATTTATATGAGCATTAAATTAGTCCCTAGATAATCTCATTGAGGATTATTTCAAACCATATTAAAAGAGTTTGGGAACTAAACAGACACTTTTATAAACTCGGGGACTAAAATAACCTCTTAAGAAAAGCCAGGAGACTATTTTGACACTTTTCTACCCATTCTTATGTCCAAGACATTTTATGTACCAATGTGTTGTATTCTAACAAAAAAAAAAAGGGTGGGTTGCTATGTTTTCTCGCGATGTAACAGGGATAGAAGCGATGTATCAAACCTGCAGGCTTCCGACAAGGACCACTGGCTTCAAAGAATCATACATTCCAAAATATAAACCTCTGTAAACTATAATTCCAGCACAAGAGATGTTGAATCCACGGTACAGACCAGCTATTCCATCTGACTTAAGAGTCTTCCTGTAGACATCAACCAGGCCATTAAACTGCCGCTCTCCACCTTTCTTTGCTGCCTTGGCATCATTAGCCAGACGAGTACGGGCATAATCCAGAGAGTAGACAAAAAGAAGAGAAGAAGCACCAGCTGCGCCTCCGGAAGCCAAGTTGCCTGCAAACCACTTCCAGTAGCCATCCCTATCCTTCTTAAAGTTGAACATTCTCTTGAAATAATCCTTGAAGGCGAAGTTCAATGCCTAGAAGCAAGCAAATTTTCCAAAAAAAAAAAAAAAACAGAAAATAATTGAATTATGATTCTTTCATCATTGATTTTAGTATGATTTGTAAGATATTATATAACCAAATCTAATGCTTACAGAAATATCTAGTAGGATATGTTCAAAAAGTATGAATCAACAGCTACTGCAGTCTCTCATCAAGGCTTAGAATGGAAAAGCATTTTTTTAATAAGAACATTTGTCAAATAATCTTATAAATGGTGTTAAGAAAATATCCACAGCTGTAAAGTTCATGAAAGCCTTATTTAATGTTTCAGGCAATGCAATAAAATTTCTAGCTGAGATGTATTCAAGTTCTAGGGCAGGCGAATTCCAGATAAGTAGAAGGGTAATAGCTCTTGATTAAATGTAATATACTGCCTAAAATTGAGCTTTCTTTAGAATAAAGGAAACTGAAGGAAATAAAATAAAGTTCCCATGAATTGTTGGTTGATTTGAGCTTCTCAACAATTTTCTAGTTTCTTTTCACTCAAATTCTAAGCGTTCAAGCACAGACTTAGGAAATGGGAGATCTCAACATATACATTATAGAATTATTTAGAAAAAAAAAAAAAATTGACAGGGCTCACCTGAGTAGGGAAGTAACGAATAACATTTACTGTGTTACTTCTCCAAAGTGAACCCATACCTTCTTCTCTGACCGTACGAGCAAAACAGTCTGTAATTCCTTTATAAGGTTCAGAGAGACGTCCAGCCTTAATCATCTCATCTTGGTTCTGGATCAGTAACTTAACACGCTCTAATGGAGCAGCTGCAGTTTTGGAAACAGCAGCTGATACTCCACCCATAAGAAAATCAATGGCAAAAGAGTTCAAGCCTTTTTCAGAAGGTGCCTGAGCAAACACAGATGAAGCTGTTGTCACCATGGGAAGATTACTAGTAAACTTTCCCATGCTCATTAATGGGTTCTGCAGCTCATTATTGAGGTAGTTTTGTGTTGAGAAAGGCCTCTCGTACAAATAAGGCCTGTAAGAACTTTGGTTAAGAGCCCGCAGATTCTGGGAGAAGCTGGAGTTGAAACAAAATTGACCAGCAACTGTCTGAGTTACATTGGGGTGGTTAATCTGATCTGCCATGACTATCTATTAAGAAACCTGCAAATACGGCAAGGATATTCTTACTTTGCTGAGAAAAATTGCATCATTACATTCTAAATTATTGATTCATTGGGAGACATCCTTCTATAGATTATTCTATACATTATTATTAAAAGATAATAATAATATGGCTACTATAATAAATCAAGAGAAATATCTCCTCAAAATAAAAGCAAAGATTGCATAATGGCATTTATCTTTAGAAAGATTTGCATACAAGCCACACAATTCCTATGTATTTACACATCTAACGCCTAAATTTGATTTTTACATTCATGCTGGCTTACCTATAGATGTAAAGATGTATTTCACTTTTTAAAAGTTAGTGATAGTGATGCTTTTGATGTGATATAAAATATTTGAATGTTATTAAAGTAAAAACGGTTTATGCGTTTGATATGTAAATACATAAATTTTTTGTGGCATGTATGTAAAAATGCCCATTTTGTAGAACACAGTATAACATTAATTAACCAAATTCTAAAACTAAAGTTCATAATGCCCATTTTGCATGAGCACAGAATCTAGTTAAAGGTACATCATTTTCAGTGCCACATCCTATCTATATGCACATACTTCTGTAAAAATTGATGTAAAAAAGGAAATATCAACTAAAGCCAAATTTCTTTAACAAAGTCAATGATTCCCAGACAACGAAAACAACCTCCATGAAATAACTATACACTACCCAATTAATTCCTGTTAAGAATTATAATAGGAAATAATTTATCCCTATAAAAAGTTATGAGGAATAGATTATTTTCTTAGAATAAGTAGATATTTTTTTTCCTATTTTATATTTATTTCTCTTAGATTAGAGATTATTTTTTTTTCTATTTTATGTTATTTATTATATCTCCTAATAATTAATATGAATTAATTATTGAAGATATCAGGTGATATGTCTTTCCTTTTTATTATTATTTTTTTATTATAAGATTCTTGTAAGGGTTATTTATACCCTGGTTCATATCAATGAAACAATTAAGTATTCCACCATATTCCGCATAATTCTGAATTTCAACATGGTATCAGAGAAATGTTTCGTACCCTACCCACCGGTTCTCCTTTGAGAATTATCGGACTCCCTTTTTGTCATCCTCTGTGCAGGAAGGGAGGGACACTTATCTTGATATTTGGTCTTTCCTTTTTATTATTATTTTTTTATTATAAGATTCTTGTAAGGGTTATTTATACCCTGGTTCATATCAATGAAACAATTAAGTATTCCACCATATTCCGCATAATTCTGAATTTCAACATGGTATCAGAGAAATGTTTCGTACCCTACCCACCGGTTCTCCTTTGAGAATTATCGGACTCCCTTTTTGTCATCCTCTGTGCAGGAAGGGAGGGACACTTATCTTGATATTTGAAATGACGATTTTTTGTTCTTCTCCAATCCCTATCCATTCTAGCCAGTGGAGGGCCAATTGGGACATCTCTCCATCTCGGAAGCCCAGTTGTTAATCCGATAAGGGCTTTCCCTGCTTCCCCGTCGGAGAAAGGCAAGCGTCCAGTCTCTTATCCCCAGCGCGGCGTGCGCCCATTGGCGGCGCCAGTTTTCCAGCGGCCTCATAGATGGACCTCTACGCCAATGACAAATCATCCGCTATATTCTTCTGTAGATGCATTCGTGGAGCAGCGAGTGTCTCCACCTGATTATTTTGGACAGCAAACGACAATTCCTCTACAATCTTGTCATAGGAAGGGTAGCTTCAGTTTTGAGGAGTATCAGCTCTCACCTCTATTCTCGGCGTCTCCTACTCCATCTCCGCCTACCAATATGTCTAATGCCTTGCATGCTAGATTGCGATCAGAGACTTCTCTAGTCAGCATACTGCAACCAATGATGAGGAGGAACCATCTGCATCACACTCCTAACTTTTCAGATCCGACTAGAAGCTTGTTGCCATCGCCGTCGCCTAGAAATGCACGGGCTAATGTTTTGGAGGATTCTCTTTCTTCGAGGACTTTCAGAAAGTCGGGGATCTTACTTCATTTCTGTACACGACGTCTCCTACTCCATCTCCGCCTACCAATATGTCTAATGCCTTGCATGCTAGATTGCGATCAGAGACTTCTCTAGTCAGCATACTGCAACCAATGATGAGGAGGAACCATCTGCATCACACTCCTAACTTTTCGGATCCGACTAGAAGCTTGTTGCCATCGCCGTCGCCTAGAAATGCACGGGCTAATGTTTTGGAGGATTCTCTTTCTTCGAGGACTTTCAGAAAGTCGGGGATCTTACTTCACTTCTGTACACGGCTCTCAAAAAACTATGATAACAAGATGCTTTGGAGTTTGGTCAGACATCACCACAAACCATCCAAAAAATTCGTGTGTTGCATCCTCCTATGTCGACACCAACGATGGGGCTCCAGCCAGGGCAGCACTAGCGATGCCGCCACCCGCCTCATCCTCATCTTGCCGGAGATATCACTGCCGTGGATCGGACAATGCCGGCAAAATCCATCGCCGACCCTTTCTCCTGCAGTATTTTTTTTTCTTCCATGTCCAAGCGTCAGGGGGGAACTGCGTTTCCAGCAGGAGCTGTGTTTTAAGCCGGTCATTTCTCCTGCAATATTTTTTCTTCTCTGTCCAAGTGTCAGGGGGAGCTGCGTTTCCAGCTGGCCCTTTTCTCGTACAATATTTGTTTTCTTCCTTGGCCCAAGCGTCACGGGAACTCTGTTTCTAGCCGCCCTTTCTTCTGTTGCTTTCTCTGTCAGCAGAATTTATTGAGTGTGATTTATATGTTTTCTCTGCAGCTAACGACAAAACTCAAAATTCAGCCAAGCCCGAATCTAGCAAATTCAGCCAAGCCTAAATCTCTCTTCTACGCCGAAATACATGAAAGATAAAACTCAAAATTCAGTCAAGCCTGAATCTATCAAATTCGATAATCCAAACGACCAATTTTAGTCAAGCCTGAATCTATCAAATTCGATAATCCAAATGACCAATTTTTTTTACTATTTAACAGGTTAGGAATTATTAACATACATTCCAAACGTGAGGGGTAGTGTTAAGAATAATAACAGGAAATAATTGATTTCTATAAGAAATTATGAAGAATAAATTATTTTCTTAGAGTAAAGAGATATTTCATTTCCTATTTTTCATTTATTTTCTTAGATTAGAAACTATTCTTTTTTTTATTTTACGTTATTTTTTATATCTCCTAATAATTAATATGAATTATTATTAGAGATATCAGGTGATATATCTTTCATTTCATATCATTTCATTTTTATTATTTTTTCCTATTGTAGGATTCATATCAATGAAACAATCAAGTATTCCACCATCGTATTCCGCATAATTCTGAATTTCAACAATCCTAACCCCATAAAAGAAAAAAAACAAAAAGAAATATAATATAATATGCAATAAGTTAAAGATGAGAAAATTATGACTTCTAAATGTGGTGCCCTTTCCTATCTTTTCTTGAGTTCTTATAAAACAAAGAAAAGTTTTGCCTTCATTCCCCAGGCTGTTAAAAAGAGAGTTTTCTGTCTTTTTCTCCCTTTATTTTTTCAATTGATCTCTATGATGTGATCTTACCTTAGATTTTTACAAAAAAAAAAAACCTTCAATTTCAATATGAAGCAACTCTATTTCACAATATCATGTGAGACAGAGCCATGGCCATGTAATAATGAGATGCCTTCTAATTTCAACGCAATTCAGCCTTTCCCAAAATGCATAGCCGTGTCAAAAATAGATATAGAATTAAATTTGTACATTTAATCAGGGGTGGCTCAAGGTTTCGAAACAAATATTGAACAGCAAAAAAATGCAATAAGAATCTGAAGGCCAAAAATTAAAAAATCAGTCCCACCCAAAACACATCTCGATCGCTGTACTGCTCAAGAAATCCTGTAGTACGATTTAAAAAACAAAAGGAAAATAGATATAACACCGAATATCAGAAATTTGCAAGTAAAACACAACGCAAACAGATTTGCAATCCAAGCTAACATTAAAAAAAAAACAGAAATAACTAATCTTTCGAAAGGCTTTACCTCCTGCAAATCCGGGACAGAGATCCAAAAAAACCAGAAAGAAGATGAAAGAGAAAAACCAAAACTAGATGGAATTAAAGAGATTTGGAATGTGAAGCTAATGAAGTATTTAAGCAGTCATGACGGGTCAAAGGAAGTAACAAAAGAAGCTTCCTTGTACGCTAATGAGGTTTTTAAGCACTGATGACGGGTCAAAGGAAGGAACAAAAGAAGCTTCCTTGTACGGGGATTGAGCGGAGCGATTCAAATATAAACCACCCATGGACACTGTAATTTTTCGAGAGTCAGGTTACTTATCATATATTTAATTTCTAAATTAACTTTATTTAATGAATCTAAATTTATTTAGTTGAAAGAAAAATTTAAGTTATTCGGCCCACTATCACTGAACGAATGATCATAACTGGCGATCAGAAATCCTCATGATCGACCAGCAACTTGATATTTTTAATTATCTGTATTGTATAAATATTCCTGATGAGCCTCTTTCTATGGGAAGGGGGGACTTGAATGTAATTATATATTTCAGGTACCTCCTATTTCTATAAATAGGAAGTCATTTCATGTCAAAAGTTTAAGATGATCGATTTTATGTTGTTAAAGTCTTCCTAGCTTCCCATCCTCTTCTGACCTCGTGCTCTATTTATTGGGCTTGATTGTGCCGACACTTTTGGGTTCAACAAAATTGTTATCAAAATTTTTTTAAGAGTGAAAAAAAATGTTAATATACCCAAAAAAACAAATTTATGTTCGGAAAGCATTAAAAATGTTATGTTTATTTTAAAATGAGTGATATATATATATATATATGTACACGGCT